GATCCTTCAGAAATCATTCTAATATGCTGATTTGCTGCTCAAGAAACATTTCTGATTATTATCAATGAAAAAACAGTTGTGCTGCTTCATATTTTTGTGGAAACTGATTTTGAAACAGAAAATATTTTTTTCCAGGATTCTTCGATGAAAATAGTGTAAAAAGAACAGCATTTATTTGAAATTTAAATTCTTTGTAACAATATAAATGTCTTTACTGTCACTTTTGATCAATTTGACAAATAAAAGTTGTTGTTTTTTCTTACTTTTTCACTTACCCTAAATGTATGAAGTAGAGCATCCCAGTTTCCACAAAAACATTAAACAGCAAAAACTGTTTTCAACACTGATAATAATCAGAAATGTTTCTTGAGCAGTAAATCAGCATATTAGAATGATTTCTGAAGGATCATGTGACACTGAAAACTGGAGTAATGATGCTGAAAATTCAGCTTTGATCACAGCAATAAATTACTTTTTTAAATATATAAAAAAATAAAAAAAGTTATTTTAAATTGTAATAATATTTTAAAAATTTTAGTGTATTTTTGATCGAATAAATGCATCCATTGTGAGCAAAAAAGACAAAAATATTTAAAAATCCTTAATTAATCCAAGTCTCAAATATCATTTGCGTTTGCATTTAATTTCAAGTTCTTGTACCAGTTTGCATAAAAATTACTTTTGGGCGCTTCAGCGAAGGAAAACTTTAGGGTTCCACAGAAATAAATAACCACATAGAGATTTTGAACAACATGAGGTTGAGTAAATAATGGCCGCATGTTCATTTCTGGGTGAACCGTCCCTTTAAAGAAACAAAGTTTCTTTACAACTACTTACAAACTTCCTCTTCAGTTTGACTTTTGGATCGGCGAAGCTCCTCCTCTCCGGCTGGGCGGGTTCGAACTCCGACTCTCCCAGGTGATCGTCGGCCGAGATGCTTTTCCTCAGATACGCCGCCCGCCGCCGGAAATGTGAGAACGGCGACTGAGAGCGCGGCCGCGGGTCGACGGCACCCGGAGCGACTTCGACCTCGTTTTCATCTTCCAGCCGCCACATCTCGCCTGAGGATGGACAGACGGTACGATTCTGATCACACATCAGTCAAATATCACACACGACATATTTAACCTTATTTCGCTGCTGGTTATTCCCAGGCATCCGGCTAGATCTGTTAACACGGGTGTAGACTCTCAGATAAGGACATTAGGGAGCTGTCAGGCCACTGGAACAGAGTTATTCATGTTTATTAGACTTGAGTCAGTCAAATCTGGGTCAGAGTTTCAACCAGATATTATGGCCCTCGTTTGGCATGATCCCAGCATAATGAGCACGTCAAACACACTGAGGGAGACGGCTGGGATTCGGTGTGTGTGTGTGTGCTGAAACATCACCATGCTCCGCTGTTGGCGATGACAGTTGCTAAGCAACTAGAATGGGGAGGAAGCCAAAGACTTTAGGTTTAACATTTGAGACACAGTGAAAAAATCCTTCACAGAAGCTTTACACAAGAGCAGCTCAGCTGTGAGAATCAGGAGAAAAGCGTGAGAAAGTGAGAAAGAGTGAGGGGGGGGGTGTTGGCAGAGCGGTGCAGGCTAAAGTAAATATGGAGTACACGCAGACGGTGAACGCGCTAAACAATCGCACATGGCATAAAGCTCACACATGTTGTGAATGGAATGTACCGCGTTGAACCTTCCGTTCCAGACGTTGTCCATTCACAACTACACTACACTGCCAATTCTGTCAATTCACTCTCTGTCTCTTGCTCGCTCGCTGATCATTTTTAATCACATTTATTATTTTTGGTCAATAGAGCAACTGAAGGGCATCTTGTGCATTCAGACGCTGAAAACTGAAAGAATTTATAATTTCACAAATCATACTAGATCGTAAAAAGTCAGTAGAAAGTAATAATTATATGATGAAAATAAAGCCTATTTTTGGATCAATAAGAGTTTCTGCATTGACATTTTCATGACAATTTTGCAAAAAAAAGATAGAATTGACTGTCAATTGTTACTCTAAACTAAACCTATAAAAAATTGTTTGCATTAATTTAAATAAAATTATTACATGAATAACCTTCATTTAAAAAAGCTTAAAAATGAGAAATTTTATTTTGGCAACTGACTGAAATAAATAAGTATAAGTTGACGTAAAATGACTAAAACTGAAATAGCAAACACATTAAAGGTAAATATAAATAATAAATATTAATACATATCATAAAAAACAATAAAAAATTCAAAAGCAAATAACAAAACTCTTAAAACATAAATTAGCATGAAAACTGAAAACATAAACATAAAAGTCAATTCTAAATCAAAAGCATCCTAAAAGTAAAAGAAAAAACATGAAAGTCTATTTTTGGAGTTTTTGCATTGTGGCATTTTCATGACAATTTTAGCTACAAATTCACAATACTATAATGCAAAAAATATATTATTGTAATGTGAAAAATTATATATTATTTAAATTGTACAGTATTTCTTTAATATAGCAGTATTTGATTTACTACCTTTATTTAATTTATGCCTTTAATTAAAACAAAATAAATACATTACAGTAATCATAATGAATGTAGAATGAGAATCAACACAGAGAATAATTAGAATTATTTTATAGAATTTTATAATACAGAATGATTATTTTATAATATAGCAATGTTTAAAAAAACACACAAAAAATAAAACTACTGGACTCATTACAGATCAAACAGGTTTAAGGGAAATGAAAACACTGAAAAAAGAAATCATAATTTGGAAAATAAATAAATAAATAATACATTAATTATTTCCATTTGATTTTGAAGTGAACTGTGAGCTTGACATGTTTTCATGAGATTCACCCAAGAACAGGAGCTGTTTTTTTTTTTGGTTGCCACTTTACTGAACTGCTTTTCATCTAGTTCACAGCAAAATCATCAAAACTGAGAGTTCAATAAAATCTGTTTTGCTAACACTGCTGTGCAGTTTTAATAAATAAACACAAACACACACGCAATACCTGCAGGAGGCAGCGTACATGCTTCAAGACCACCAGGGCTGGAAGGAACACGTGGGCGCTGTTGACGTTCACAAACTTTCTCCGACTGCTGCACGCGGATGGCGGCGGGGGACTGAGGGATGCTGGGTAATGTCCTGGATTTGGCCAGCAAAGGCCTCTGTAGCCGTCGCTCCAAAGACCTGGAACACAAACAATCAGAACCAATAACAGATTGGTTAAAATGCATGCATTTCTGAAATATACTCAATAATAAAAAGAAAATCAATTCCAAGCAATGTTTTGCATTGCATAATGTTTTACATTGTACGCATGTGTGTGGTTGTGTATTTGAACACTTTATTTGTGATGTTTTATATGAGATTATTTATGCATTTGTTATTTATCTATTTATTTATTGCTATGGTTTAATAATTAGTGCAGCTATACCTAATGCATGGAATTAAGTAGTTTTAATATGTCTCAAAACATTTTGTCTTAATCACTGTGTAAAGTTTGCATGCATTACACGAACATGTTTGGATCGGTCTGTCTGTAAGGTTACAGTAATATTAAAAACATTATTTTTCAAGCATGCAAGATGGAGTGTAACAGCATGAGGAGATTTGGCTGCATTCGTGTGTGAATGTCTGGCAACGACGGAGCCGTGAATTCCAAACTGCATGAGGAAATTCTACAGCAGAATGTGACGGCGTCTGTCTGTGATGTGAACAGGCGTCGGGTTATGCAACACGATTACCATCCAAAACACTGGAGTAAATCAAAGCTCCAATGCAAACAGAAGATGTTCTGCATTTATAAAGTCCAGATACAATAATCTCACTACAAAACATCCCAAAAACTACTGAAACACAGAAGTGATGGAAAGGCACAGCGCAGATGTGAACAGCAGCTGCAGAGCATTTGATTGAGGTCTGTGCCAGCAAATATACTTCACTATTGATCAAATATTAAGGGCTGCATATGGTTTCCCATCATTAGTGAAGTTCAGTTAAACTATTCATTTAATAAAGCACTGGCAATGCAAAACCAACAAATGTTACAATTTATGCCATTAAATTTATAAAGATCATCCGGATCATATTGTGGACTTCAATTAAATTTGAAGTAATAAAGAAAATGTGATTGAATTAATATTCACAAATGAGTTTAATTAAAAAAATAAAAAAAAATAAAAAAAAACAGGTTTAAGCACTAGAGCAGAAAATAAAAACAACTGACCATTTTCTTTGTTAATACATGTTCCTTATTGTGATTCACCAGTGCATGTTATTCCAAATGAAAAAATGAAAAAAATGTTTGTCTTTGTAATCTTTTACCAAAATGTAATAACTTGCTCTGCCTCTGAAACAGTTTCTCTCATTGGTTGACATCAATGTTTTTCTAACTTCTCCCCTGCAAACACCTGGCTTCATTCTGGTTTTTCTGAGTTTTCATGATCCCGTCAAATCAATGGAGAAAATCAAATCCTGACCTACATTTTTTTCTAATTTAATACCATGTTTCACTTGTTACATGTTCTTACACAGACTTTAAAATGACAGAATTGGCAGATTTGTTATTAAAGGGTTAGTTCACCTCAAAATGAAAATTAGGCTGCGTTTTACTCACCCCCCATGCATCAAACTTAAAGCTAAAAATTATTTTCGTTAATTGAAATAAAGCTGAAATAAAATAAAATATAAATTAGATTACATTTTTTTTTACTTTTTTTTGCTAAAAAAAAAAAAATCATTATTGTAATGTGAAAAAAAATATATATATATATATGATTTAAATTGCACAGTATTTATTTAAAATGGTAGTAATTTGCTTTTCAATTACAGAAAAACAAACAAAAAAATCTGAAATATTGCCTTGGTCAAAAACCAAAATAAAAGGTTGAAGCTAAAGTGCTGAAATTACTAAAACTAAAGCTTAAATTCGGCATGAAATCAAACTTGACAATTCTTATTTTTTGATGGAATACTGTAGTGTTTATTATAAATAATTTATCCGTGCACTTCATTCTTTTTTTTTAATTCATGTGCCCTCGTAATCTTTAATCAAAAGCGTTAACCTCCCCTCCCCCTCAAAACGACTCATCTTCTCTTCCGGTCACGAGCTATGGCGCAAGGACGGAGCTAGTGACGTGAGGGTTAAACGCTGGGATAAACGACAGGGGGAAAAGCTGAAGCTGATGCTTCACTTTATAGCACTGACACCAGTCATGAGGGAGTACGTTACCCCTAAACATTGAAAAGATATTAGGATATTACGACAACATTACTCTTAGGACATCGCAAACTAATTTTCATGAATATGACTTAACTTGATGGAGGACGGACTCAGTCTCTCTCTTTCTCTCTCTCGCATGTTTTGTGCCGTTGATCGTCGTCGTCATCCTTAATAAATAAAACATTTATTCATGCTTGGGTGTCGGCGGTGTATCCAGTGGAGAAAAAACCCTCACCACTAACTGCAAACTGGCATCTTAGATCTGCCTCCATTTTGTTGGCAACGCCCCAACTTCCAACGATCCAATCAATTCCCGAAGGACGAAATCAAGTCCCGCCCTCTCATTTCAGATGCCATTTCACTCGGATATACGTCACAGCAGAGAAGAAAAGACAATCGCAACTTCCGTTTCATGCCGACTTTAAATAAGTATAAATGAAATCTAAATAGAAATTTTTAAATAATTTAAAATAATAATGACAAAAGCACACAACAAAATTACTAAAACTTAAACTAAGTTTATAAATATAAACTATATAAAATTCAAATATTCAAAATAATTCAATTTAAAATAATTATAAATAAATACTATAAATTCCAGTCCCATATACGCTTTCATTCTATTTAAAAAATAAAATAAAATAATGATAATAATACATCCAACATTTCTCCTATTGTGTTAAAAAAATCTTCAAATTAGGAACAACACGAGGATGAGTAAATCATACCATAATGTTCTTCCCTCTATGTCTCCTACGTCTAAGATGTTTCTCCTTGAGAAAAGGGCTCCAATAATCTCACATGTGAGTTTCAGATCAGATCTCAACAATGTCTCAATTTGTGCTCTAATTTACCAAATCAGCAAAGTCTGCGATTAAAAAAAAATTAAAGATCTCAAATATGAACTCTTCTGAAATAATGCCAGCTGCTCCACATTCATTCACATTTACAGCTCTATACTCTTACACAGTCTCACTTGTGTCTGTTTTTATTTCTCCAAAGGAATTTTACAAGAAAACCAGATACATAAACAACTGAGCACTAAAGACAAAGACACTAGACTGCATTCACAGATTTGATATATGAGCATTTACACCTTTTCAAAGGTTCATGACTAAAACATTCAGATGAGTTAGTTCAATCCCTGCCAATCACAGTTCCCCGTCTGTTCCGTCCTCTAAATCCTCTCCTTTCATTGGCTGCTCATTTCTGTCATCCTGCCCTGTTCTGTCTGCACACTGACCAGACGATTTCTGCCCCGTTCAGGTGAACTGACCGCACTTCAACCCTCCAGGACACACTACACACTACATCAAGCACTTTTATGAGCCAAAATATGAGGGGAAAGTTTCAGATGTCAATAATACGGTTCAGATTTGATTATACAGTGATATGTGCTCATCTTGTTTTAAAGTACAAAATATGTCAGCATTATTAAAGTATTAACCAAACATACATAGCCGTTTTCAAAATAAAAGCCTGAAATCTCAAGCAGGACACACATGCATACATGCACAACACTCTTCCAGCTGTACACACTCTCAAACCGCGCTCTGATTTTGGAGTACCTGGCCTCGGCTACTGTGCAGCAGTAACTGCCGCTGCGACGGGTGTCCCTCCGAGCCATGAGCTCATCCCTGGAACGCCGGCGGTTAAAGTAATCCGTAAGTTTCCCGAAACTTGCCATTCTGTCTCTCGCGTGCGTGCATCCGCGTTCTGCTGTTATTCCACGAGTGGCTGTGTCATATTCGTTCACTCACATCCCCACGATTCCCACAGAAACACCAGTGAACCCGGAGCAGCAGCAGCAGCAGTCGCGTGTCTGCCACTCGCTCACACGCTAATAATAGCCACGCTTATAAACTTCCTTCAAAAGCAGCCAGCCGCGAGAGAGACGCGACGAGACGGACGCGTGCGAGTTTAGTGTGTCTTTCAGCATTCTCCCTCCGGAGCATCATCAGTGCTGCGGCAACATCATCAGCATCCTGCATCTCTCTCACTCAGCCTCTCTCTCGCTCTCTCTCTCTCAAATGCGTGCCGAACGCTTTGAAAGAACTAATATGATCTAGAGCAGGGGAGGGGGAAAAATGAATGAGTAAAGATGAAAAAGGAATCAGAGAAAGCCTGCCTAGAATGAGTGATTTTTGCCAACTGTTCTGCATTAAGAACGGTGCACGTCTAATTGTGTGTGTTTGTGTGTGAATCATGCTTTGATAAAGAAGGCAGCCTGGGCTGCACTTCAGAGAATGGAGTTCATAAAATCAATACAGGCTGAGGACAGGAGAGCATCGCTCGTCTTTTTGTGCTCCAGTTCATCCATTATATTCCTTTTTTCTTTAACTTCTTGGCTGGATATTGAAGCTGAATTAAAATACACTGTAAATGACAAAAAAGGTAAATGACTGCATCATCAGCTGGCCCATTTTTGCCTGCTGCAAGCAAAAATGAGTGCATATGTATTGCACATTCATGGCAGATTTACAGGACTGTGTCCGCGGCTCTCATTGAGAATAAATCGTGTTCTAGCATGTAACTTTGTCCAGCATATTTTCCTCCCCGCAGCATCTCGCTTCTGCTGCCGTCTGCGGTTTTGCTCTCATAATAGAAGCTGAAGACGGTGGGGATGGAAATAACACAATGTACAATACAGGTCTGCACTATTTCATTGCAAGATTTCTAATAATTGCTGTTCTTTTGAAATTTCTATTCATCAAAGAACCCTGAAAAGATGTATCACAGTTTCCATATGAAGCAGCACAACTGTTTACAACAATAATAATATTAAAAAATAATTCTCGAGCGGCAAATCAGCATATTAGAATGATTTCTGAAGGATCATGTGGCACTGAAGACTAGAGTAATGATGCTGAAAATTCAGCTCTGATCAAAGGAATCATTTACATTTTACTATACAGTATATTCACATAGAAAAAATTTTAATTGTAATAATATTTCACAATATTACAGTTTTTACTGTATTTTTAAACAAATAAATGAAGCCTTGGTGAACATGGCCCAAACAGTAGTGTACATAAAATAGACAATATAGCATGAATTAATTTGCATTATAGGAATTTGTAAACTAGGATTTTGGTGGAGATTTGCATTAAAAGCATCACGATTTTCAGTGTTCACGAGCACACAAAATAGGAATGTGTGAACAACACGGACAAGGGCTCTAAGCGTGTGTCTAGGGCTGAAAAAACCCATGCTGGTAACAACAATAGAGATGACAATGGTGATATCTACTGCCTTTGGGAGAAACATCAAAAATAGCACGTACAGTATGTCAACACCTGCCTTCAGTGATAAATACAGCTTCAGATCACAGCTGTGATCATATTTTGCGTGTGTTAGTGTGCTTCCCTGACTCTCTCATATCAAACATCCTACCCTGTGCAAAATGAAAATGATATTTCATATGATACTATGCTTGTCTGAGCATCACGACCAGCACAGCACAGCAACACTGACTCAACCAATGTGGTGAGTTTGGGGAGGGCCTATCTGTTTGCCCAACTAATAAGAGAAGTGCGGAATATTTGGGAAATTTTGTTTTTAGAATTCTATTTGGAATCACTGCAATTAAAAAGAAAAAAACACAACATCACTGGCTGCTCAATTAAGCATTGGAGTATTATTTCAAATTAATATGTGGAATACTAACTGTAACGAAAACCCTTTCAAATATTAGTATGATCTCACAAAACCTCCATATAAGCATTTAGTGAAAAACAATTTTACTCAAAAATAGCTAGCAAATTAAGATTTACAACTTTGAAAAATCATTTTTAAGAGTACCATTATGATTATTTATTTACCATTTTTATTCCAATCTTGTGTACAAGACAACTTAACTTTTAGCTGATAGGCGAACAATAAGTAAAGAAAAAGATGTTGAAAATCAAGGTTTATATTATTTCATTGCACTGGAAATGGAAGGTCAAGTCGACTGCCATGCGTAGTGGGACATAGTATTGTAAGTACTACATGTTTAGGCAAAAGTAGCACATCATATTCTCTGCATACAGCAAAAGTGCTTACTGAGTAACATAAATACTACACACTACAAAAACAGTAATAGTACTATTTAGGGCGATATTATCGTATATCGACGATGTCTCGTAAGTATCGTGATGTCGATGTCAACAGTCAGGTAACAGACGATTATCGACATTATCGGGAAAAAATGACAAATGATAAACCTAAGTAAGTTGCAAAAAATATTTTACATAGCCCCATAGTCACCATACAAGTTTTTTTGCATGCAAGAATGAAATAATTTAGTAGGAGGGTTGGGAATCGAAAAGCTATTCCAATTTCGGAAATCAGATCAGATGCCTAAGGTCAGGAATCAAATTACATTTCGATTCTGTGTCTTGATTTCTGTATGCGCATTTATTGTGATTTCAAAAGATTCAACTGCAAGAAGACGAAATAGAACTCACTTCTGCACTCGCACGCTGTTTTCTGTGCTGCACACACGCACACACACACACAAAGCGCACACACAAAAGCCACCTCTTATATACGCAAACACTGGACTGAGCTCTCTTTCTCGTGTTCTTACACATTCGAATGGACAAGACATTATTATATGACATTAACATGAATTTATCATTCTTACAATCACCGCCAGAATGTCCAACTTCACCATGATGAACTTAAAATTGGGTTCTCTTATT